GAAATAATAATAAAAATTATTTTTCTCTACAAAAAGCTATGAAAATTATATGACCGTAGATGAAAAAAATTAGAGTTTATCCCTAGCCAGTAGCCACTGTCAATTTCTACCTCCACCGGTTCCTCTGCACACATCCTTCCTTCGCCGGCAATTGCTAACTCCAAATTGAAAATCGCATGGCCGCTTAAGAAACCTCCCACACTCTTCTGCTCAAGTCCAACCCCACCCTCCCTTCCGATGTCGCCAACCTCCTCCGACTTGTCTAGGTTGAAGTTGCTTGAGTTCAAACTTTTGAACGAGACGCCGCCATAGTCCCCAAACTGGAGGGAGATATCTTGGGGGAAAAAAGCGGAGATTAAGAAGGTGACTAAAAGAATCGAGGCCCTATAATGGGAAAACGAGATGGAGATTGGAGATTGCATTCAGGACACAACTTTACGACGTGACCTAGTTTCCGAAAGTAATACAAGTTTGGAGATTGCATTCAAGACTCAACAACATCTATAAGAAAGAAAGAAGAAAAATCCAAACCCCTTAAACATCAGGACACAACTTTACGACGTGACCTAGTTTCCGAAAGCAATACAAGTTTGGCTTATTTAAATGACAAAGACCTAACAAATATTGAAATATTAAAGACGGTACAACATCTCTTACATTCCAAGCCAACATTCTCAGTTGGCCGATTGGGGCTACTCACAACTGGCTTCTCCACCTATTCTTGATGTTCTTTAGCTTCATTTTCCTGGCAAGCCCACTTGTTGAAAGTTGGATCCATGGACAAGTCCTCCACAATCTCCGTCGATCGCTTAGGACCATCGACCTCATCCTCATTAGAGACCACAAGCCTAAAACTCATCTCGGGTTGCGCAACCAGAACTGCTTCACTCCTCTAGTTCTCTCCAATATCTCAATATTGAGTAAAAGGTGTGTGTTGAAGTCTAGCCAAAACCTTCCTTGTACGACTTGAACTCGGATTTCCTTCCTTGGGGGACGAAGAGAGGACTTTCTAGAAGCTCTCCATGGGCTTATTATGCTTGGGCTTGAGTGGCGGTCAGGCTCGTTACTGGGCTGTCACATGTTTTCTTCGTGCAATGGGTTTCTTGGCCAACAAGCAACCTCTCCTCCGAATTTGGGCGAGATTTGACTTGTAGAACTCCGATTGGATCTCAGTCAAAGTTGGGATTGCTTCATTGCCAGATCTGCTTGTTTTGTCATAAAGTGAGCATCCGATGTCAAAATTCATCTTCATTTGAGCCCATATGCTTGTATTACCGTCAAACTTCTGATCCATTGGGTCCTTTGGTAATCCATATTCGTGTGGAATGTAATATCTTTGAAAATCACAAAACAACACAAAAACGCGTAAAATAGTACAAAAACACACTCAAGGTCTATCATAAGCGCATAAATCAAATAGTTACAATATTCATATAAAATATAATAAAAGCTACTAAAGATGTATTGATAGAAAGGGAAAGGGTATCAAATATGAGATTGATAAACACTATAAATTGGGCGTCATCATACGCGTATAGGTAAACCCCACAAAAAGTTTGATGGAGATGAGCCGGGTTTGGTTTTAGAATTTTCCGCCCCATCAAGATTATTTATTAATATATTCAAATATATTGAGATCCTAATATAACTTCTGAATGACAGGAAGAATAATTTAAAAAATAGTAAGAGAGTTAAAATGTAATTGAGTAGTTACCCAAATCAACACTCATTTGTTTCTCTAAATTCCCCCTTCACTCTTTCACTTCTTTTCCATTTGTCAACAAGAATTTGTTAGTTGTTTATTGCTTTGTAGACGTTTTGGCGTCATAGATGAATGGGTATTTTACTACTGGATGCTTTGAATTCATATAGTAAATCTTTGTTCTTTGTTAATTTCACGATTTATTATGTTCATTTAGTGTTATAATTGAAAACTACGTATTGAATTCTATATATAGTAATACTAGATATACATATACAAGGCGAGTATCATCTACAAGTACTCGAAAATCACAAATATAAAGATGAGGTTACAATAATCGCGTGAATATGAGATGAGTATAAATTTGACTATTTAAACATGAGGATGGTTTGGAGAAAGTCGCCTCAAACCTGCGTGTTCATTACCATCCCTACTCATATGACAGATACATGTGAGTTTGGTGAGCAAATTGATACTTAACCAACCACATCCAACGCAATGATCAAACAATAAATGTGAATGCAAAACCCAACAGTAGGCCTCTTCCCATAAAATAAACCAAGACGTGTATACTTAACTTGCCTTTGCCTAGTAAGTTCTAGAAAATTCCACTCAGAACCAGTAGCATTTTTTTAAATATTTTTATTAATCACTCAAAACCAGTAGCTTGACTTATTGATTCACGTAGAAAACAACTAACCCCATCTCTCCTCCCACCTAATCTTCGTCAATCAATGAAGCTTACCGAGTAACAACCTCATAGTGGAAACACTCAAACTTGAGGTGGTTCTTATTAGGAAAAGTGATAGGCACGGATTGGGTATGTATATGTGTCTTTGTCAGGTCAAATTATAAAGGGTAATGTCTATTTTTTATCCAAATCTTTTTCAGATTCTTTTATTTTATCCAAACCTATTAAAATACTATTAATTATCCAAATCTTTCGTAATGAATCAAAATATTAACCATTTTTACGTTATCGTTAATAATTTTGTAACTCTTTTCTTAGTTAAAATACTAAAATTTTGTAATGTTGACCTTCATGTGTCTCTTCCAAATCGGTATCATGTTGCCAAGTCAATATTACAAACAAAATTGCTAACTGAAAGTTAACATTTGGTTAATTCTTAGTATTCTGATAGGTTTGGCTAATAAAAAAGAATCCGAAAAAGATTTGGATAAAAAATAGACATTGCCCAATTATAAATCATAGTAGAACATTTTAATTCAAGAATAGTTGAGACGGGTTGGCTCATATTTAAAAGGAAAAAACAGAGCAGTTCATTTTTATTACAAAATCCATCTCATGTCAACCCAGCCCCCAATTGTGATATAAAGCGTCTCGCTGCCTCTCAACCCTTGAGAGTTAGTCTCCGGATTAAGGAACCAACAGCCGAATCTCTGATATCCAATTTTCTAGTTTTTTTAATTGGATCTTATCTTTTTCGTTTTAAATTAGGTTATAGGTATAATATACGTCTCAACTATGATGTTTTATCAAACATGCCCCTCTATTATGTTTTACATCAAACATGTCCCCTGTACTTTGAAAAAATTATCAAACATGCCCTCTGTTAAAATTTCCATTGAAAAAATCGTCAATCATGGTTGAATCGAGATTTAGACGAACCGACATCGGCAAATGGGAGCGAAAATGTCAGTTTTGTCTCCTGTTTTATTTCTCTGGGTCTATTCAAAGTGAAATTATTCAAATTATTTGGCTATACAAAAGAACTAAAAAAAATATAAAGTGGAATTATTAGGAATATTTTAGACATTTGTGCCGCCCAAACCAAAGTTCGATTTTGGTTAACGATTTTTGGATGAAAATTTAAACAAAAGGGCATGTTTGATCATTTTTACAATGTACAGGGGCATGTTTGATATAAAAAATAGTAGAAGGATATGTTTGATAAAACGTCATAGTAGAGGGGCATATTATACCTATAACCCTTTTAAATTGGATTTCAAATTTTTTGCGCAGATGGAACGAGCTCGTTTTGCACTTGTGCTATACAAAATGAGATCCATTTTTAATATATTTTGATAAAAAAAACTCATATCACTCGTTACCAACTCCATATCATATGATATTTCCTTTGTTTTTTAAATCGATGTTGAAAATTTTGCACAGAAAGAACGAGTTCATTAGGAACAAATTTAAAGGGGAAAAATACAAGACCAAAATATACCATACCACCCTGGTATAAGGTGGTATCTTATGGTACACAATGTTGAAAATTGTAAATATCAATTAGTATATTCATACTTTCATGTATTCAACCATTCTATAGTTTGGAATATTCATACCACTATGATACACTTCTATGCCACGTGATATACTCTTATGTAATACCAAACAATACCACCATGATATAGACTGATACTAAATGCCTCAAAAAAATTATTTCATAAATTTCATAAATATATTAAAGTGAATATCATTTAAAAATCACAATTTATCTGTGATTAAATTTTGATTAAAAAATATACGTATAACCCGTTAAAATTTTAAAAAGAAAAGATTAAACCCTTCCATAAATAATGAGCTGGTGTTAAGGTAACAAGTTATACATAATTGTACATCACAAAGTTACGCAGCAAAACTGCTCCCGGTCAAGTCGAGCAACACAAAGAAACGAATGTGGAAATTTGGGGTAGGAAGAAAAAATATAGGAGAAGAAGAAAGAAACACATACTTTTTAACAGGGCAAGCAAGTGGCCCACGGAGCAAAGCAAGTAAAGCAACCGGAGGAGACCCCAAGATTCCACGCTCCTCCAACTTGAAAAAAAGTTATTTCCAAAGACCGAAACAGATGGTCTCGTCTCGTCTCTCTCCAGTTAGTTCCGTACAAAAATCAAAATCAAGATCTGGGAAAAAAATAATTACACACCCATAGAGATCTTAATTATCTACACTAGAATTACTCCTTAATTAATTAACATAATATAATAGCGAATAATACGCCACTCCCGATTTGCCATTTTGCTTTCGCCCCCCCCCAAAACAGGATGGAATCAAAATCAATCAAACCAAATCGGTACGTATTTTGAATTCGGGATTCTAAAATACACGGAATTGACTTATTGAGCCCAACGATTCCCCAGTTCCCCACTCCATCCACCATCTTTACTCCTCCTGGGACCAAGAATTTCCTCCACCCGCTGCCTCCATCTACCCCTTTATTTCTTTATTTTTCTGGTTTCTTTATAATATTCGGTGACGGGGAAGATAAATATATATATAAAAAAGAGGCAGGCAGGCCGGCAGGCCGGCAGACCAACCGGCGACGATCTATCAGCTGGAGACTTCATCGAGGAGTTTGTATCGTCTCACCTTATTCCGAAACACCACATGCCTCCTCATCCCTCCAACGCTCCCGTTCCCGTTATTATGATTATTACTGTTGCTGTTCTTCACTATGACCTCCGATTTCGTCCTTCTCAATTTCTTCTCCAATTCGCCGTTGCTGATCAACCTCCTCCGGGGAGTCGTCGCCATCGATCGGTCTGGGGACTTCTGCTTCTTGACGGGTCCGTTGATCGATTGCCGCTGCAGGGTACGCCCACTGCCCTTGGTGGCTATACTGATCCTCTGGCTCTTCACCGGCCCTGCTCGATCCGAGACCCTCGCCCTCCTCCCGTCGCCGTCGCTAGCGCTGTTTCGATTCGAGGAGGAGGAGTTGGAGGAGTTCTGGGATTTGTCCTTGGAATCATCTCGGCGGAGGCACCAATTGCAGGCCTCGTAAGATTCCGCTTTCGGGTACAGATTGCTGCAGTACCTGTTCGATGAAATACCGCAACGAAAATACAAAAAAAAAAAAAAACAGAGTTAAATCAAAATAGCGCAACGAAAATTAGAGAATCAGGATTCAAGACAGAGCAGAAGAGCAACTGGGTTTTTTTGCCCGTTTGACTGGAGCCTCAGAGAGCGAAACTTGTGCAAGCAAATCAATTAACAGAGCAGAGAGTTTATCGATTGACTGACCTGTGCTGAGATCTGAAATGGCAGACTTGGCACTGGAAAAGCTCGTAGGAGAAGCCGAAATCGCCGCACATGCAACATTCGGGTGCGGGATTGTTGGGGTGGGATTGGGGAGAAGGTTGTGGAGTTGGTGCTTTGTGGGTTGTCATCGCCACCTGGGTATACTATGATCATTCATTCAGACTTTGTTTGGGAGCAAGGAAAGAAGAGAGAGAGAGAGAGAGAGCTTGACTCAGCTGGGGAGAGAAGCCCACGGCCACGCAATGTGAAGGGGATTAAATATATATATATATAAATAAATGGGAAGAGAAGGTTAGCTTAGCAATATCAATATGTTTACCACTGAACATGAGGAGCATATATCGTTTATATTAAGTAATGTACTGTTTATGTATATGGACAACTCACTGACATATGCGTGTATATATTTCGTATTAGGCTTTTTATGGTTATTTTGTATAATTTGGAAAAAGCCAAGAGACAACAACCATTGCTATATTTGTTATATATATCTTTACGGTTTCAACAACTAAAAAATTCCACCTGTGTATTGCATCTGGTGCTTACTTACATCTTCGTTTGCTTGTATGTTGGTCCTCTAAGTATATTCGTGGCAACTGGCAAGTAAACTATCTAAGTATAATTTTGCTTCTAGTGTTACAACTTACAATGGCATTAAAGTTGTTGAAGAATAATGAAAACACAATACTAAAACTTGAGAGGGAGATCCTCTCGGTGGACTAGAGTCCTACTGATGATACCACGTTAAAAAATCTCGTGTGCTCTTTACGTTTTCAGCTCATTGATTGAATATTTGTCATGGTATCAGAGCCTGCAGACTCATCATTCTCGTAGGCTAGGTTTCCCGCTGTGGGTTTTCTGCGCCGACATCTTTGGTTTCTTCTTCAACTTGGTTCTGCCGCTGGCCCGCTGTGAGTTATCTGCGCCAACAGCTTTGGGTTCTTTATTGGTTTTGTTCTATTTATAAATGTTATTTGGTGACTTTGGGATTTCTCTCCGGCCTGCTATGATTTGTCTACGGGTCTTTGTCATCATCGCGTCAGCATCAGATTATTTCTCTGGCCGTTCTTTATTGTTTGTGGCCGTTGCTTTCTTGTTGTTTACTTCTCGCTATGGATCCCGGGAAAGTGGATATGTTGACTACAAAGTTGGACGGGACGAACTACCCTCTGGGAGTTTCAGTTTCGCAGCTATGTTGTTGGGCGGCGCTTGCTTGCCATTTTGGATGGGACACATCCCAAACCAGGTACAAAGGCTCCCGCGAAAGATATTGAAGATTGTGATGCTGGGAACACACAAGATATTTTTTGGTTGCTTGCCTCCGTTGATGTTGGCCCGGGTCTTAGTCTCCGACGATTTTCATTGGCTTTTGAGACGTGGGCACATCTTCGCCCTACGTATTCTCAAACTAATGCAGCGCATCAGTTTGAACTCGAGACTGAACTCTCCTCATTTCAACAAGGGGATAGGGATATTCTGTCTTATTATCAAGCCTTGATGACACACTGGACTGAGTATGATTTGCTTACCTCCTCACTGGTTTCTGCTGCTGCATCAGCCGAGGTCTTGAAGGAGCGATCTCGCTCCCGTTTTATGCAATTTCTGAGTAAACTTCGGCCTGAGTTCGAGCCCTTGAGTGCGTCCTTGCTTCACCGTCAGGTCAATAGTGTGGAAGAAGCACTTGATGAGCTTCTTAGGGAGGACACTCGACTTCGGAGTCAAGACAGGCTGGATCATTCTAGTTTAGGAGATTCTGCCTTTGCTGTTGGCAAGGGTTCCCATCGACCTCAATTTCAGCAATGAACTTTTAGTCAGGTGATCTGTCATTTCTATATGATCCTGGCCATGTTCAGCCACACTACAGACGTAGGAGTTTGTGCATTTACTATAAGCACTCTGGCCACATCATTATTGATTGAAAGGTACTCGCCAAAAAAGGGGGTTATTGCCCTAATCATCAGTCGCGGGCTGTTGTGGCTCCTAATCCTAGCTTTGTCGTTTTTCCTACTCATACTCCTGGGGCTGTCTCTGCTGCCGCGCTTACCTCTTCTTCCTCGGGAGCTGTTTTTACTTCTTCCGATGTACGGGAAATGGTAGTCGAGGCACTTCAGGATGCTATTCCTCATATGTTGAACTCCGCCTTTGCCGCAGGCAATTCGTCAGGCACTCCTCCTCATTGGTTAGTTGATTCTGTTGCCTTCAACCATATGACTAATTCTTCTGCGAGCTTCTCTTCTATTCGTCCTACCCATATGAGATCTTTACAGGTGGCTAATGGGGCTCAACTCCTTGTTTCGGGTTTGGGCATTGTACGTACAAGCGATGTTCATTTGGCTAATACATTATATGTTCCTCAGTTGGTTCCGAGTCTAGTGTCTGTTCGGCAGTTGACAGAGGATGGGTGCTCAGTAACTTTTATTGATATCGGTTGTGTTTGGCAGGATCATGACACAGGGAAGGTTCTAGGAACAGGTAGGAAGGATGGAAGGGTGTTTGTTCTGGACAAGTTTCAGCGGTCGCCGGTGGGTGTTCAGGACGCAGCACAGGCTGGGAATGGTGGCGATGTTTCTTTGTCTTCAATTTCGGATAGTTATATGTCCCTGGTGAATAATGATGATAGGACCCATTGTTTGATTGTTTCTAGGCAGTTGAGTACTTTTGCTTGTGATGATTTGAACTCTGGGAATTGTAAGTCATGGAAGTCTCTTTCACTTTGGAATTTATGGCATTATCGACCTGGCCATCCTCATACTGCTCATTTGTTACATATTTTTCGTCGTAGCCTGTTGCTTGTCTCTCTTTATCCGAAATTTCATCCCTCTACTCCATGTATTAGTTGTATTGAAGCTAAGGCTACTCAGTCTTCTTTTACAGCGAGTGAGACTCAGCATGATTCTCCGTTTGATCTTGTTCATACGGATCTATGGGGGCCCTCCCCTGTTACTTCACATATGGGATTTTGGTACTTTGCGTTATTTGTGGATCATAAGACTCGCTATACGTGGATATACTTTCTATGGCAGAAATCGAAATTAGTCAATCATGGCAAGAATTTTGTTCAGATGATTGAAACTTAGTTTGGATGACAATGAAGCTTATTCGATCGAACCCAAGTGGAGAATTCATTGCTACTCCATTGCTCGAGTTCTATGCATCTCGTGGTATCCTGCCTCAACAGTCTTGTCCTGGCGTTTCACAGCAGAATGGTTATGTCCTTGAACTGACACGTTGCTGCATTCGGCCTTCAATTTGAAAGAACTGGGTGATGTATCATACTTTTTGGGCTTGTCAGTCAAAAGAAATATATTCATGATTTGTTGGCTGCTACAAATTAGGATAAGAGTCGATCGTGTAACACACCTATGGAGCAGAATTTGAAGTTGAGTAGAGAGGATGGAGAGTTTTTAGAAGATCATACCTTCTATTGCAGTGTGGTGGGAAGCTTGAACTACCTGACACACACACACACGTCCTAATATCGCATATGCAGTACATGTGGTTAGTCAGTTTATGGGAGTTGCTCGGAAAAATCATCTTGATGTTGTACATAGATAGCTTAGCTACCTTAAGAATACTCCAGAGGTTGGATTATTCTTTCCCAGTGACGGAACTCCAACGATCGAGGCTTTTGCATATGCTAATTTCGCAGGGTGCCAGCATACTAGGAGATCCATTTCTGATTGGTGTATACGGTTGGGATATCATTTATATCTTGGAGATGCCGGAAGCAAGATAAAGTATATAAATCTTCTACAGAAGCTGAGTATTGGTCGATGTTTGAGGTAAGTTCTGAAATGGTGTGGCTGCAACGTCTATTCCAGGAGTTGGGTGTGGAGTGTGACAAACCGATGCACATATATGGGGATAATACCAGTGCTATACATATAGCAAATAATCATTTGTTGCATGATAGGACGAAACATATTGAGGTTCATGTTCATTACATCAGAAAGTTGGTAGTAGAAGGAATGATACAGCTTAGCTATTTGAAGCCTGAAGAACAGACTGTTGATTTATTGACAAAGGTTGTTTCCTCTAGTAGACATAGGTATCTATCTTCCAAATTGATGTTGCGTACCCAAAATCAATTTGAGGGAGGGTGTTGATTATATTTAGTATAGGTACCAATATGTAATTATGTAGTTAGGGTTTGTGGTATCAAACTTATATATATCCTGTTGTACACTACGTTGAAGGATAACGAAAATGCAATACTAAAACATGAGAGGGAGGTCCTCTCCGTGAACTAGGGTCATACTGACGATACAACGTTAAGAATCCTCATGTGTTCTTTACTTTTTCAGCTCCTTGATTGAATATTTGTTAACTCATCCCTAACTTACTTTCTGGGATGGCTTTGACCATTCCAAGCCAGTAAAAGAGCCACTTTCAACCGCGATTAATGCACTAGGAACATATTTGCATGACAACTTTGGTCCCGGCCAATTTAAGTCGAAGTTCTCTTTCCATCTTGACTAAACGAGGAAAGTGCATACCAAATTGCTGCTTCCGGATATTATTTGAAGCTATGAAAGAGGAAGAAGCTGCTAAGCAACTTCTCGACAAAGAAGGACGTAATTTTCCCTATGACTAGATGGGGATGGTCCTCATCACCCCCAATCCTCTCTACTTGATAATCATAAACGCCTATAAGGTTCCCTTCGAGGACAATTTACATTCAGCAGCATCTCCATTTCTCTGGAAAATCTGTGGAAACATTGTAGGGGAAAATGCCCATCAAACATATCTACACCCACTCACAGCTACTCCATTGGGAATTGAGGCAGAGATTGTGGCTAGCAACAATGCAAAAAATCATATTGCCATGCATAATTATAAAGCATATAATTTCTATGTGCAATCACAATCTGCCTATGCATCTCTAGATCGAGTTGAACCTTAACGAACCTCCTACACATCTTTCTCAAAGGTTAATGAAGCCTCATGATGACTTAAACTTTAGGCTAGAGTAACTAGGAGAGAGATTTGTCATTTTGAAGGAAGTTCCTAGTAATGTAACTAAGGAAATCGATCCTCAAATGATAAGCTAAACGGTTAACTACAAGACCAAGGATGAACCATATATCCCCAAAGCCCTTGTAATGGATCCATTTGCTATATATCTAGA